CTAGATCCGATACACAGCAAATACCAGAACAGACAAGTAAGGCTGAAAAGGAAAAGGAAACGTCTAATAAATCTAACCAGGAAATTCTTCGCAGTCAAACGCAATGTTTATATTGTAATGGGAGTCACAGCCTTTTTGATTGTACTAAGAACCCATCGGAAAAAAGAAACATCCTAATACAAAAAGACCTATGTCTCAATTGTCTTAAGGAAGGTCATAGAACATTTGATTGTCGAAGCAATTCTTGTTGCAAAAAATGTAATGGTAAACATCATTCCTCCATTTGCGATCCAAACTATCTTGCCAAAAGAAATCAACAAAATTATCAAAATAATCAAAACCGGCCTGGAAACAGATTCCACCCTTACAGACAAGATTACAGAAACAATTCTAATACCAACTCTAGAAATAACTCTAATTTTAACAACAATCGTGAAAACAGTGGTAATTCATTCCCTAACATGGCAATGTACGATCAAGCGTTACAGGAGATGAGAAATATCACACTGACTATGTTGCCCTTCCAAAGAATGTTTGCTATGGGACTACAGCAATTAAATCCTAATCAACCTATTGCTCTCCCCAATGCTACAAATAACCCTCAAGACAACAATCAGCTTGCAATACAAGCGCCCCCCGCCAATTCACAATCCGCTAACTGCTCTGTTGTCGAAAACAGACAGGAAGAAAATCAAAATTTATGACTAGACGTAGTGACTGTAAATGCCTTCCCGATTACTGGATGCGTTTCCACATTCATGGAAACGGCTGAGCTGATTCACAAAGACTCAGGAAAATTGATATATGTTCTTCTTGACTCTGGAGCACAAATTAATTTAATAACTTCGAAATTGGTAAAACAACTACAGCTAAAACAAAATCGGACTCGAAAAAATTACAAAATCATGGGAATAGGAAGCGAGCAGGGGGGCATGCCCTCCTCATCCTACGTAGATTTAAATCTCACATCACGAATTAATCCCAATTTCACATTGAACACTCAAGCGGTTGTAGCTCCCCTGGAAAAAAGCTGGGGTGGAAGGAATCCAACAACCTTGAAACAATTCAACGTATTAGAACAAAACTTAGCTGATTCAAGAGTTTATGACCAGGATAACATCACATTCGATCTTATCCTGGGGGGCAAAGAACTAGTATCCATTTTTAACATCCCTACACAAAGCCTGTACAGAAGACATACATTTCAACTACTAGATAGTAATGTAGGCATAGTGCCTAGAGGCCTTCCCACAGAATACCAAACGTACGAAAGAGGAAACATCTTTTGCAATTTTTTATCAAAAAATAACGAAACAATTGAAGATGAGTTGCTGAATGCAAAAATTGTTGAACAACTCGAACTTGACAATCTTATCTTCAAAGAACCAAAAGACAAAGTAATAGAAGACAAAATGGAATATTTAACCTATTTACACAAACTCGAAATACGCAATGGAGGAGTAACTGCTCCTTTACTAAAACGAGACGACTTTGAAAAACTATGGAACCCAAATCTACGCATGGGCGAAGCAAGAATTAAATCCGTAATAAAAATTCTAGAAAAAGGAGATATCTTAGCAAATGAATACAAAAAATTCATAACTGAATGGCTAGACAGTGGAGTGATAACACCAGTCACCATCGAGGAACTGAAAAAAAGAGGAACGCCTTTTACTGAATTACCACACCATGGCGTTGAGCGACCAAAAAGCGCATCAACTCCACTAAGAGTCGTAATTCCCGGCAACGCCGCAGACCGAGATAAAGCTACATGTAACGACCTCTTAGAAACTGGACCAAAAATACTACCCGATATTATCGAAATTTTATTACGTATGAGATTTTCAAATTCAATAGGTATCGGAGATGTCAAAAAAGCCTTTGTACAGGTGCAACTAAAAGACAAAGATCAATGGCTACTAATCATAAGATGGCCAGAGAAACAAGATAACGGCACTTACATTCACAAGTTCTTTCGCTTCCTTTGACTACCATGGGGCATAAACTGTGCCCCCTTCATGCTAAATGCCTGCGTTTGCTATGTATATCTCAAAGCAAAAGAAGCAAAAATTCTGCCAGAAGAAGAGGAAAAAGAACTAGGACTTAATACGTACGTTGACGACATCATTGTCACAGGAAAAAATCCAACTGAAGTAAAAGAAAAACTGGAAAGAGCTCGTAAAGCCCTGGAACTGGGGGGCTTTATCTTAACAAAATTTCGATACTCAAAGGATACCGAAACTAGTGAAAATTGCGACCCATTCAAAGTATTAGGAACTCTGTATGATCCCAATGACAATACCATATCCGCATCGATTGACGAATTAATGAACTTTGAAAAGTTTTCACAACTAAACAGAAGACAAGCCACAGCAATTCTAGCAAAACTGTTTGATCTACTAGGATTAAGCACTCCCTTTCAAACACAATCGAAATTGATCATGAGGGAATACCTAAACAATAATCCAAAAGCCGACTGGAATGCTAAACTCACGAAAGAAGAAAGCGAAATATTTAAAAAAAATAGCAGTAGACTCAATAGAGGCTGCAAAAATAAAATTCCCTAGAGCAATAAAACTTGAAAACGAAACAAAAGGAGAACTACACGTCTTCTCCGACGCAAGCGGTTCCGCCATTGCAGTAGCAATTTACTACGTATCGTACAACAATGAAAAATGTAAATCAACGCTATTATGGGGAAAATCAAGACTAACCCCACAAACAGATAAAAAAACAAAGGAAAAAGACGAACGCATATCAAAATCGAAAAAGCAAAAACCTACACAACAAAACAAAGAAAAAAACGAAACATTAAGAATAAATAGGGTCGAATTAACAGCAGCATGCTTAGCAATTGAAATGATAGAAAAACTTAAAAAAGCACAAAATCTAGAAAATTGTCCCACATTCTTTTGGACCGATTCTAAAGTCACATTTGACTGGATATACGCAAACAAACAATCTACACCACTCTTTGTACGAAATCGAGTAGGTGATATATTAAAAAGCTCAAAAGCTAACCAATGGAATCACGTCCCTGGACACGAAAATCCAGCTGATGTAGCATCACGTGGATGCACAATCGAAGAATTAAAAGAACATACATTGTGGAGACACGGGCCACACTGGCTAAAAGATAGAGAAAAATGGCCGACAATAAGAGTACAAATAAACCTAACAACCGAACAAGAAGACAACAGCAAAGAATTACCAATACAAACAGAAATCAAAACAATAAATACCATATTCACCGGTCTATTTATGTGGGAAGACATGATTAAACGTATAGCAGCTTGGAAACGGTATATTTTATTTATGCCTATTCTAATTGCAGCAGGATTCTTCAGACATAGAACAAAACAGGAAAAAAGAAAGAAAATTGATTTCAGCATCCTACGAGAACCATTCGCCATACTAGAAACGAAAAAAGCAGAAGCCGAAGCCATACGATTGATACAAAAGTGTTACGCAAATAAAGAATGGAGAATGCTAAAATCAGGAAAGAAAATAAATGAGAAACCAGATTTACAATGGGATAAACATAATAACTACATCATATCCGTAAGTAGACAAGAAATCGACAAAACTACCAAGATACCGGAATTTGACCCTGTTAGACAAACACTTATATATTTACCAGTACCAAGAAAAACGTCAAAAGCAAAGTTTTCAAAAGCTCTTTTACTATCAATCCATAAGAACAACGGACATTGTTCTGTAAACAGAATTCTAACCATACTATCCGAAAACTATTGGGCACCTGGATGCCGAAACATCGCTAAACAAGTAAGAAAAGAATGCTTCCATTGTAGACGCTTTGATGGAAAACCATACTCCGTACCAATAGCACCCCTCCCCGACTTCCGATATGAAGGTGCAGCACCATTTCAGAAAGTAGGAATTGACTTCGTCGGCCCACTCGAAACGCTCAATTTTGATAAAAACAATAGAAATATTCATCACGCAAAACAAAAAAGAGTAGAACCTAGAATTAAAGGAAGTAAAGTCATAACGCCAATAGAACCAATGAAAATATCATTATGCGTATTTTCATGTACACTCACTAGAGCAATACATATCAAACCAGTAAGCGACGTCTCTATGGAATCCTTTATTGGAGCATTTGAAACCTTCTGTCATGTAAGACATATCACACCAGAAAAAGTCATATCCGATAATGCCGCAACTTTTCGAAGCGCATGGCCAAAATTTTTAGAAGCACATAAACTACACATAAAGAAACGTTTCAAAAAAGTCAAATGGTATTTTAACGCAGCACGCGCCCCATGGTGGGGTGGATTTTATGAACGCCAAATGAGAACAATCAAAGATGTCCTGGCAAGATCATTTAAAGGAATACCATTCAGTAACACAAACACACTACTCTCAGCTATAAAATGGGTAGAAAATTTGATTAACTCTTGACCACTAACATACATAGCAGCCGATCGAGAATCACCAATGATCATCACACCTGCAATGTTTTTACATCCACATTTAGCCGATTGGTATGATAACCCATACCACTATGGTCCACAACCTCTTCAGTTTTTAGAAAAAGACGAGAAAGGACACCTAACTCAAAAAACGCTATATTGCATGAAAATTGTTGAAAAACTGTGGTGTGCATTCCAAAACTCGTATATCAAATCACTTAGAAAGTTTCCATACAACAATAAAGATTCACCCCTAAAACCAAAAGAAGGACACATAGTACTACTAATAAATCAGAAATTCAAAAAGAATAACCCACTAGACAAACTAAAATGGCGTCTCTGCAAAATCATCAATTTAAATACAAGCAAAAGAGACGGACAAGTAAGGTTGGTAGACATACTTACAACTGTCCGCAACCAAGATGGAAACATTGAAAAACTTATACTAAAAAATCAATCAATTAATAATCTTGTTCCATTAGAAATGGAAGCACCACAGCAAACAAACCAACAGAATATTAAAATAAACTTAGTTCAACTAGCACTAGGTATTGAAAAACAAAATGTGCGATAAACAAATTCATTATTCGGATCAACGAGAATAGTGACAACAAAAGCTCTTGAAACACATTCCATAACGAATAAAAAAAAAAAAGGGGAACTTCAAAACAATTTACCCGAATATGAAAAACAGTTAACACGATTTTCTTCTTTTTCCCTCAAACAGAGTTCATAACATCACCAGATTACCCGTTCAAAAAACTTAAAATGATACCATTAATCAATCACAAATTCTCGTAAAACAATTCTTAACATTTCATCGACTGAAACCATTTAACAAGAAAAAACCCCAATAGCTGGGGAGACATCTTGCAATTTGCTAAACAAGCGCCCATTCAACCCAACAGACCATACACCAGCTGCGGAACGCGACACTATTATCCGAAATCCAGGAACATCGCGAATCTTTACAATATCCCCCACCTCCAAGGTTCGGGAAGAATCGCTAGATGACAACGCCACATCCGTAGTGAAACATTCGTCATAATCGTACTTTCCAAGTTCAAGAGAATCCCTAATGAAAACGAAATTTGTTAGTACAAACAATATAAACAAATTATCCTTCCTCTCACCATTTCACACCAGTGAGCAGAGGCCCAATGCAGTTTATAACAGGTCCAAAACTTCCCGAATGCTGATGAGCTACTTCCGGGATAATACCTTCTTGAATTGACCCATCATCCAGAAAGATAGGGCATCCTCCTGAGCAGCCCCTACCAATCATGTTCCCATAACCTGGCAGACACCTAATACCTCTCCATATTGCCAAACAATGATACTTTGCGAAGATTAACGAAGCCGTTTGCAGAAGATGACCAAAATCATCCAAATGACCCCGCCCTCGACTGTATGCACTCAACGCCTCAATAGGAGTTGGCAGCGACATCCAGAATAAGAGTTGCTCCTTATTAACAACAAACTTTGTCCCTTCAACTTGCTTTAGACGAAGATACAACATCCTTTGATAAGCCCGAGCAGCACGTTCTCGCGCCTCTTTGTCCACGTTAACATTCCCATCAGATCGTAATGGAATCAACGGCATACCATCCTTATCCGCTTCCAAAATAGCGCTTTGCAGACTATCCAATAAAGGTTGAGGTGCAGGCGGTGAAGCTCCAAGAGCAAAAACGCTGCACCGAAATTCAGTCACAATTTCCCGAATATACGACTCATATTTAGAAAAGAAAAGACCAAAATTAGCCAGGCGTGGATTAAAGTTCTTATACGTGCACAGTTGTTTTATGTCGTTAGTGCCTCCACGCAAGTAGATTTGAGAAAAAGCAAACTTAGGGCCCAAACGAAGACCCTTCCAGATCACTTTACGCAAATCCGGCATCTCCAGATGATTCTTCCGCGTTACAAAACTCCAACCGCTTATGGATACCTAAACAAATATAACAATATAATATACGACTAACAAACAACACCATGAACAAAATACATGGAATAAATCCACATTCATGCCCTTTGTCAAGTAGGCGTAATTAGGACACGGGTAGCGAACTCGTTGCGGAGAATGGACGCGAGTTTTAAGACAACGACGATATCGTGTCAGATTAAAAGTAGAAACCATTGAGGTACCCAAGATCATTACCGCAGGAAACTCCGAATTCTCAATAAGTTCTTCATCAACTGGCGCGTAATCATCGGTGTTAAAATCGTAATCCTCGGCAACGCAACCCGGGATCGGCAGTGGAATCTTCCAGCCACCCAATTTGTTCAACAACTGCGGCGTGATTTTCATTGCTTGAACAGCCTTTCGGGAATACGACAATATATCCGTTGGTATAAAACGAGTAGGACGAAAAACGCGTAAAAGTTCATCTGAAACAATACAAGACGAACATTTAAGAACAAAGGAGAAATATCAACTCTACATATTCTACAAAAAAATCAAGTCTAAAGTTATTTACCATCACTTAAAACCTCGTCAGAAAACGCCGTATCATCATCAATCAAACCGACAGCCAAGTTGGAACAACTATCCACTACTGAACCGGTCAAAATTTCAGCGTTAAAGCCAGCATGACAAGTTGGAGGTTTAATCTGATTCAACTTCGTATCAGCCTCCCAACACCTCAGTAAAGCATCGCGTGGCCCAAGAACCAATTCAGCATCTCGAAATGACAAGACAGTCAATCCATCTATTAAAATATAATATCATAATAGAATTTGCACATTATATTAGACTATAAATAGCATAAAAACTCACCTATCACTCTCTGAACATACGAAATCCCTTCAACAAAATAACGTCTGCCGGCCCCTATTCCAGCATTCAAATCCGCTGAATCAACAATCAAAGTCTTATCGAATGCTGTTTCCAATATCTGCTCTGCGCACAATTTCAAGTCTTGAGCCCGATTTAAACGGTCAGTTTCCTCGTCGATCTTCGAACTTAGCACGCATTTCGTTCCCTCTAAAAACGCACATTCCTCCCCCATCTCTGTAATTCATGCACGCTTCGCACGCACTTCACGTTCCATCCCCTGCAATTCTGCTTCCGCAACGTAATCACTTCGAATTAACTAAAAAAAAAAAAAACAACGAGATTTCCCTTATAGAAAACCTAAAAAGATCAGAGATAAAAATAACACAATACCTGTAGAAATTTCTCAAGACGTTCACGCTGCCCAACAGTTAATGGACCCAATTGTTCTTGTAACTCTGATGTTGGAGATAACGTTTTTTGAAGCATCTTTTCAGCTTCCGCTACGTCATCACGTGATCGCTTTGCACGAACTTGGACGTAGATTACCTTCATCTTGTCCAACAACTCGTTCAGCTCGTCTACGAAGCGAAGAAAACCAAACAAGTTAAGATTGACGCAAACAATGACGAGAGGATGATCAACCCAAGTACCACTGATATCTTTCTTCAACGCTTCAGGAACTTCAGCATCATTCCTAACACCAGATGCCATGCCGCCCACAACGCGCCTTGACTCCATTGAGCACAACAAAAACTACGATTATACCGAAACGAAACGATCTTTGAAATGTCTTTGACCTCTTCCTATTTTCACTATCAGCCTTCCGCCTAAACACGAACAAAAAATAAACCACATGAACCGAAAACGAAAGCATCCTCACAATGAGCAAAAAAAAAAAGAAATCGAAATCAAAACGAATTACGAACGAATCACTGATACCAACTTCTTCCTCGTATTCCTGACTCGATCTGGCCAGTCGAAACAGGAAGACCTGATCTTGGGAACACTTTCACTCTGTAAGCTTCCATCTTTTCACTTTCTTCTCGTTCGAGTACACTATCTTCCCATCAAATCTTCTAGAAAATTCGTCAACATGCCCTCTGTGCTATACTTCTTTATTTTTTCCAGCGACATCTGTCGATGCCGTTGTCAAAAAGAGGGGGGTTTTTGTGGGGCACAGAGAACATGTTCCACGGAATAACAAGATTACGCGCAATAAGAAATAAATAAGATCAAGAATGCAAGGAATGCAGACTTTATGCGGTAACGGGGAATTCCGTTGGAAGTCCCCGCTTTATTCAGTTCGTAGATCTCGAAGCGTTCGGTTGCATTGAGAATTGAGAATTGTGTTCATTTTATTCGTCTGTACTGATTTGCATTTTCATCCTTAGTCATTCTTGTGTTTTTTAACTCTTTCTGCTCAAAATACAATTTATCCTGTCCTTTGAAGATTCCACCGAGAATCTTCACGCCGTGTTCCCCGGCGGATTGTGAATTCTATTTATTTATTCAAACTTCGAGTTATTTGCATTCTTTGTGGGCTCATTGCCCTACAATGCTTATAAAGTTCAATTTACATTGCTATAAATTCCATTAAAATATTTTGTGATTATGAAAGGATAATGTGTTTTTTTCACAAGGATTTGCTGGTTGGCAAATATTTGATGACTCTGATTATCACTGGCTTGAAATAAATTTTGCAAATACAGTATACATTTTCACTGAAAGCAGTTTTCCATTTTTGGATTCTGCATGTAAGAATATATCAAATGTAATCTTTTGGTCCTGTTATGAAGAAATTCATGCTTTTTTATCTTTCTCATGCTCCACAGCTGCCAATCACAGTACAGTAATTGTAAAATATATTTTTCATCTCAATATCATTCACCATCAGCAGTACCAATGTATTTATGAGTAAAGAGGGGCAAAAATGACAAGATACAAAACAAGTTCTGCAATTATATGCAAAATTATATTTTACTTTACTCCTGTTTCAGAAGCCACATTCAAGTCAGTTAGTGGAAACAAGAGCCAGGAAATGTCATGGATATCTACTGAAGATAAAAACTTGGCCACGTTAGCTTATACAGTCTTGTTACAACAAATCTTGTCTTAACAAAAATTGCTTTCAATAAAGTTTTTCATGTGCCCTGCCCAATAGCCACAATATTAAATGAGTTTCTTTATTAAAAAATATTGTAACAGCAGAGCTATTTTAATGGCCCCAGGTGGCTTCATTGTTTCAAGATGTACCTTGTTGTCGTAAATTAGTTTATTTTTGATCTTTTACAATCTTCCAAATCCGGACGTCTCTGGATCTTCCAATTGTATAACTTACCGTCGCAAGTTATGTTCTAAACTAAATTAGACAATTCTTTGAGAGGAGATTTCTTGATCCTTGTTACCGGGCAAAGTAAATTCAACTCCTCTTTTATCAAAATGGGTAAGTGAGCTTTATTTCGTGTTCAACAGTAGAGATACTATACGCAACAAACTTCGGACAGCAATGAGCGCGCGATCAACAGAGAGCAGGCGGCTATA